GCCGAATACAAAAGTGAAATGCTTACTTACAGCCCTTAACCAACAGTGCATTTATTTTTAATAAAAAAGTAGAATAAAACAACAATAAAGTGTTGAGAAAAAAAGAGCAGAAGAAAAATAAAATAACAGTAGGGAGGCTATATATACAGGGGGGTACCGGTGCAGAGTCAATTTGCAGGGGCACCGGCTAGTTGAGGTAGTTGAAGTAATATGTACATGTGGGTAGATTTAAGTGACTATGCATAAATAATTAACAGAGTAGCAGCAGCGTAAAAAGATGGGGTGGGGGCAGTGCAAATAGTCCGGGTAGCCATGATTAGATATTCAGGAGTCTTATGGCTTGGGGGTAGAAGCTGATGAGAAGTCTTTTGGACCTAGACTTGGCACTCCGATACCGCTTGCCGTGCGGTAGCAGAGAGAACAGTCTATGACTAGGGTGGCTGGAGTCTTTGACAATTTTGAGGGCCTTCCTCTGACACCGCCTGGTATAGAGGTCCTGGATGGAAGGAAGCTTGGCCCCAGTGATGTACTGGGCCATACGCACTACCCTCTGAAGTGCCTTGCGGTCGGAGGCCAAGCAGTTTCCATACCAGGCGGTGATGCAACCAGTCAGGATGCTCTCGATGGTGCAGCTGTATAATTTTTTGAGGATCTGAGGACCCATGCCAAATCTTTTCAGTCTCCTGAGGGGGAATAGGCTTTGTCGTGCCCTCTTCACGACTGTCTTGGTGTGTTTGGACCATGATAGTTTGTTGGTGATGTGGACACCAAGGAACTTGAAGCTCTCAACCTGTTCCACTACAGCCCCGTCGATGAGAATGGGGGCGTGCTCAGTCCTCTTTTTTTTCCTGTAGTCCACAATCATCTCCTTTGTCTTGGTCACGTTGAGGGAGAGGTTGTTATCCTGGCACCACACGGCCAGGTCTCTGACCTCCTCCCTATAGGCTCATCGTTGTCGGTGATCAGGCCTACCACTGTTGTGTCGTCGGCAAACTTAATGATGGTGTTGGAGTCGTGCCTGGCCATGCAGTCATGGGTGAACAGGGGAGTACAGGAGGGGACTGAGCACGCACCCCTGAGGGGCCCCCATGTTGAGGATCAGTGTGGCAGTTGTGTTGTTACCTACCCTTACCACCAGGGGGCGGCCCGTCAGGAAGTCCAGGATCCAGTTGCAGAGGGAGGTGTTTAGTCCCAGGATCCTTAGCTTAGTGATGAACTTTGAGGGCACTATGGTGTTGAATGCTGAGCTGTTGAATGCTGAGCTGTAGTCAATGAATAGCATTCTCACGTAGGTGTTCCTCTTGTCCAGGTGGGAAAGGGCAGTGTGGAGTGCAAGAGAGATTGCATCATCTGTGGATCTGTTGGGGCGGTATGCAAATTGGAGTGGGTCTAGGGTTTCTGGGATAATGGTGTTGATATGAGCCATGACCAGCCTTTCAAAGCACTTCATGGCTACAGACGTCAGTGCTATGGGTCGGTAGTCATTTAGGCAGGTTATCTTAGAGTCCTTGGGCACGGGGACTATGGTGGTCTGCTTGAAACATGTTGGTATTACAGACTCAGTCAGGGACATGTTGAAAATGTCAGTGAAGACACTTGCCAGTTGGTCAGCACATGCTCGGAGTACACATCCTGGTAATCCATCTGGCCCTGCGGCCTTGTGAATGTTGACCTGCTTAAAAGTCTTACTCACATCGGCTACGGAGAGCGTGATCACATAGTCATCCGGAACAGCTGGTGCTCTCATGCATGCTTCAGTGTTGCTTGCCTCGAAGCGAGCATAGAAGTGTTTTAGCTCGTCTGGAATTCTTGTGTCACTGGGCAGCTCGCGGCTGTGCTTCCCTTTGTAGTCTGTAATAGTTTTCATGTCCTGCCACATCCTACGAGCGTCAGAGCCGGTGTAGTACGATTCAATCTTAGGCCTGTATTGACTCTTTGCCTGTTTGATGGTTCGTCAGAGGGCTTAGCGGGATTTCTTATAAGTGTCCGGGTTAGAGTCCCGCTCCTTGAAAGCGGCAGCTCTACCCTTTAGCTCAGTGCGGATGTTTCCTGTAATCCATGGCTTCTGGTTGGGGTATGTACGTATGGTCACTGTGGGGACGACATCATCGAAGCACTTATTTATGAAGCCAGTGACTGATGTGGTGTACTCCTCAATGCTATCGGAAGAATCCCGGAACATGTTCCAGTCTGTGCTAGCAAAACAGTCCTGTAGCTTAGTATCTGCGTCATCTGACCACTTTGTTATTAACCGAGTCACTGGTGCTTCCTGCTTTAGTTTTTGCTTATAAGCAGGAATCAGGAGGATAGAGTTATGGTCCGATTTGCCAAATGGAGGGCGAGGGAGAGCTTTGTATACGTCTCTGTGTGTGGAGTAAAGGTGGTCTAGAGTTTTTTTTCCTCTGGTTGCACATTTAACATGCTGGTAGAAATGAGGTAGAACGGATTTAAGTTTCCCTGCATTAAAGTCCCCGGCCACTAGGAGCACTGCCTCTGGATGAGCGTTTTCCTGTTGATTTATGGCCTTATACAGCTCATTCAGTGCAATCTTAATGCCAGCATTGGTTTGTGGTGGTAAATACAGTTATGAAAAATATAGATGAAAACTCTCTTGATAAATAGTGTGGTCTACAGCTTATCGTAAGATACTCTACCTCAGGCGAGCAAAAGACTTCCTTAGTATTTGATTTTGTGCACCAGCTGTTGTTTACAAATATACACAGACCGCCACCCCTTGTCTTACCGGAGTCAGCCGTTCTATCCTGCCGATGTAGCGTATAGCCCGCTAGCTGTATGTTATCCATGTCGTCGTTCAGCCACGACTCGGTGAAACATAAGATATTACAGTTTTTAATGTCCCGTTGGTAGGATAACCGTAATCTTAGGTCATCCAATTTATTCTCCAATGATTGAAGATTGGCTAATAGGATTGATGGGAGCGGCAGTTTACTCGCTCGCCGTCGGATCCTTACAAGGCACCCTGACCTACGTCCACAATATCTCTGTCTCTTCCTCATGCGAATGACAGGGATTTGGGCCTTGTCGGGTGTCTGTAGGATATCCTTCGCGGCCGCCTCGTTGAAGAAAAAATCTTCGTCCAATACGAGGTGAGTAATCACTGTCCTGATATCCAGAAGCTCTTTTTGGTTATAAGAGACGATGGCAGAAACATTATGTACAAAATAAATTACAAATAACGCGGAAAAACACACATAATAGTACAATTGGTTAGAGGGCTGTAAAACGGCAGCCATATTCTCCGGCGCCATCATTAAGGTCCTTGTGTAAGGTCCTTGTGTAATGTGTTATTGTACCCCCTAGCCCAATTATCCTTTGTATATTCTTTATATACACTTGTGTTCCTCTGTAAAAAAGGAAATAAATTAAACAAACAAACAAAGAAAAAAAGATGTGTGTCAGATTATATACGGTATAGAAACCTATGAGTATCACATTTTACTTAGTGCTATCACATCTTTCCACACGGAGGCGCCAAGTTGTAACAAAGTAACAAAGTTACCACATGCTGAGTTCTGGAGTTTCCTGGCCCAGGCTGGGGAACTGTGGGCCACAGCAAGGAGGAGATCTGTCACAACTTTCTCCGAGGCTGCCTCCTCTCCTTGTTCGGGCAGGCTTCGGCGTTCGTCGTCACCGGCCTTCTAGCCACTGCCGCTCCTCATTTCATAATTCCATTTGTTTTGTCTTGTTTATTACACACACCTGGTTCATATCTCCTCATCAGTACCTGTATAAGTGTTCCCTCTGCCCCCTTGTCTTTGTGTGTGATTGTTTATTCTGGAGGTTCAATTAGCTTGGTGGAGCTCTTTGTTATTTTGTATTGCCAGGTTATTTTCACCCGTGTGCTTCATTGTTTTCCAGTGCGCCTATTTTCCGCACTGGAGTGTTTGACGCATTGCTGCATACTACTGTGTTTGGAATAAACCTTTTGTTCTGTGATTTGCTCTCCTGCGCCTGACTTCAAATCACCCATCACAAGATCTGTGACTGACCTGCCAAAAATAGCGTCTACCTACCTCAGGAAAAAACACTTTGACAAAGTTATGGTAACACCAGATACATTTGAGGGAAGGAAGAAAGACATATTTATTATGTTTTCCAACAATAACGGCGGCCTCTAGAATTCGATAGCAATCTAGCCTACTATTTAGGTTCAGAGAACAGGCATTTGGAAATTGTATAGGCTTATTATCAGCAATCATATTGTTTCTAGAAATGTAATTAAATTCATACTAAGAGTAAGAGTGGGAATTCCTGTGGAGAGAGAGACCCTTTAGGAACTGGCTGACAGACTGAAAAAATGACACTCCTGTCAGAATCCTCACCTGGCTAAACAACCAATCAGGAGAAATGGGTGTTGCCACAGAAACAGATAAAACAGTGGGACAGGTGACAGTGCTGACATAGAGCAAGTGCAAATAGTCAACGGATAACAGGTAGAGAGAGAGAGAGAAGAGAGAGAGAGAGACAGACAGACAAAGAGAGAGAAAGAGAGTGAGACAGACAGACAGACAGACAGACAGACAGACAGACAGACAGACAGACAGACAGACAGACAGACAGACAGACAGACAGGCAGCAGGCAGACAGACAGACAGACAGACAGACAGACAGACAGACAGACAGACAGACAGACAGACAGACAGACAGACAGACAGACAGACAGACAGACAGACAGACAGGCAGGCAGACAGGCAGGCAGACAGACAGGCAGGCAGGCAGACAGAGACATAGAGAGAAAGAGAGACCCCAGGGGCATAACTCAGACACTGAAACAGTCATCACCTTCCAAGGACCAGAACAATACAAATGGAAATATAGGCTAATTCAAACTTTAAAAGATCAACTTTCAGATATCCTGACACCAGGAAAGGACTGAGGACTATTCATACCTGTCCCCAAGGAGAGGATAAGGACAGCCCAAGGACAGACGCACAGCAGCATCAGGAGGAGGTGACAGAGAGACTACAGACTAACTGACCATGGCGTCGTTCGAACCTCAGGGCCAGTCTCCTCCTTGCTGTGGCCCACAGTTCCCCAGCCTGGGCCAGGAACCTCCAGAACTCAGCATGTACAGTGACTGCTACTACCCTCCTCCATCGCTCCCCAGCCCCCAGCGCACCACCCCCACCTCCTACGACTACAGCACCTCGTCCCCCAATCCTTACCCGTGGTTCAACGGATCCGGCATCAACGCTCCCCCATACCTGGCCACCGCCGGGCCCCCAGGTAACCCTGGGCCCCCCTTCGTCCCCCAGCACTACGGGATGCAGAGGCCCTACCTGGGGCCCGGCGGGGCGGGGGGCCCTGGGGGGGAGCTGGGTTGGTTCTCTCTGCCCTCACAGGAAGACCTGATGAAGCTGGTCCGCCCGCCCTACTCCTACTCCGCCCTCATCGCCATGGCAATCCACGGCGCCCCGGGGCGGCGGCTGACCCTGAGTCAGATCTACCAATACGTGGCTGATAACTTCCCCTTCTACAACAAGAGCAAGGCCGGCTGGCAGAACTCCATCAGGCACAACCTGTCACTCAACGACTGCTTTAAGAAGGTCCCCAGAGATGAGGATGACCCTGGTAAGACTGACTTCATTATGTGTTTGTTTTATTTTAGTACTAAGCCCACAAAATAACCCTTCAATCTAAGGCATGACAGTATTTGATCGTTTAATTATTCATTTTGAATCTAACCAGAACCAAATATGTAATGACAGACTACTGTGAATCTGCTGCTAATCTTTGGTCAAGTCAACAGTGGACTTTTGTTGTCATGTGTCTTTACTTTAGGTAGCCATTGCTGCTTGCCTTTAGAGTGTGTAATAGTCTTGTGATAGAACGGCTTGCCTTTTGAGTGTGTAACAGTCTTGTGATAGAACGGCTTGCCTTTCGAGTGTGTAACAGTCTTGTGATAGAACGGCTTGCCTTTCGAGTGTGTAACAGTCTTGTGATAGAACGGCTTGCCTTTAAAGTGTGTAATAGTCTTGTGATAGAACTGTAGATGAACTGTGTTTAGTAATGATAGTAGATGATGCAGTCAGTAGTCCATCTGTCAACCCCAAACACACACTAATCTATTCCTCTCTCTACCCCTCCCCCCTCTCTCTCTCCCTCACTCTCTCTCTTCCAGGTAAGGGTAACTACTGGACACTAGACCCAAACTGTGAGAAGATGTTTGACAACGGAAACTTTCGTCGTAAAAGGAAGAGGAAGTCTGAATCGCTGTCTGGAGGAGAGGGGGGGTCAGGGGGGCCGGAGTCAGGTGACCCCAACAACCGGGGGAGCCCCCAACCCCCCAGCAACCACGGGATCGACATGTCTCCCACGCCAGAGAGAATCCCCTCCCCTTCCTCCTCAGGTCCCGCCCCTTGCCTGAGCAGCTTCCTGTCTGAGATGTCTGGAGTGGTGTCTGGTGGAGCCAATGAGATCGTAGGAGATTCGCTGAACCGGGCCCTGCCCATAACCCTTACCCTGGACGGGACCCAGAGGCCTACACAGCCTGGGGGTTTTAGTAGTTACTCCCCCAGCTCAGGTCCTTCGGAGTGGGCCTCCCAGCTGCCGCCACCCCCTGGCCTGTCCTCCTCGCCCACCCACTCTTCCCTTGGTTACAGCAGCCCCATCCTCAGCCAGTTCAATGGGCATTTCTGCCCTGGCTTGGGCTCAGCAAGCATCCTATACCCACGGGAAGGCACAGAGGTCTGAACAGACTGATAGAGGGAGATAGAGGGATGGGCAGAAGTTAGCTAGAGGTCTAAAGACACTAAAGAAAGAAGGAGAGTGAGAAAGAGAGACACGTTTCTACCTGAGACTGAACTGAACCCTCTGCTGACACACACACACACACACAACACACACACACACACACAAACACACACACACACACACAAACACACACACACACACTCAGTAGTCAGTTAGTGCTGACAGGGCAGGACTCAGTTGCGTGTGACAGCAGGATGAGCAGAGCCTGGTTCCCACGGAAACAGCCGAGTCAGCCATGATGATGCTTCACACACACACACACACACACACCTGTTTAAGCATCTATAATTGCTGACTGTCATGGGTGACAGTTTTAATTTGTATATATTTTTATTTAACGTGTTTGTTTTATTGTTTATATATGTTATTTTAATGTTTGTGTATGTGTTTTTATCTCTGAGTGCTTGGGTCTAACATATTTGTTCAACATTGTAGAATATTGTTTTGCGATGGATGGCTCAGACCTGGGTTGAAATATATGTGTTTTGTTATTTGAATACTTTTTTTCTGTGTATTTTCAAATACACAGCTCAAAACAAGTATTTTTATTTGAGTATTTTAATGGTTATTTGTAAAAAACTAATAGTTGACCACATTTAATTTGAAAGTATTTTCAAATATTTATTTAAAATACTATTTTTTAAATATCTGGGTTAAATGCATGGGAGTGTATTTGAGTCAGTGTATTTGAGTATTTCCAAATAAATTCCAATATTCAACAACTTGTTTTTTCAAATAAATGTGATATGAATATTTATTTTGAACTGTATTGAAAAGTGTTTGAAATACCTGAAATAGTATTTGAACCCAGGTCTGGTATGACTTATACCAACATTGGTCTGATGTTTGTTTTTGATAAGAATAATCAAATACAGAGAAACGTTCTCTGAGGTGTAATCTTCTTACTCTTTTTAACTCTGAAAAAGCCTGCCTAGCTAGTGTTGTAGGGGAGTTATCTGTCCAAACAAATCTTTGTGAAAGATGGTTAATGGTCTCAAACCTTCAGTGAAAAATGACCCTCCTAAAAAACACAGGTAGGACAGAAACAGTCCTGTCAGAGAAACGATGACCAGTGAACCAGGGAAACCTGCTTGTCAGAGTAACTCGATCCTACGGTATGATAAGGATATACTGATGGGTGGATGGTTAGATGAAGCCTGGAGGGTTAACTGACTGTTGTAAAACGGTGAGAATCCCCATACCTCACCCCTCTCTCTTCTCTCTACTCTCACACAATAACTCACCCCTTTTCTCCAAGTCCTGCTGACTGGACAAGACTGGGATTTAGGGAAGGGGAGAAGGAGGGAGTTTATGGAGGTAAAATAGTGACTTAATTATACAAGCTTGTAAAGTATGATTTGCACTTGTAAAATATGAGTTGCACCTGTATACTGAGTTTTGTAGTTGAAAGAAATATTTGCAAACATGTAACTTCTGTTGAGAATAAATGCAACTCGCAAGCAGGTAATGTGATGGGTGAATAAATACAACACGTTCAAACATGTAAATTGATATGTAAACAAATTTAAGAAGATTTGCACGCAACTACATTTGAGAATAAATGCAATTTACTAAACTTGCGACTAGTGAATCTTCTTATGTGAATCAAAACTACATTTGCCGATGTTGAATCTGTGCACTCAGAGTTTCTTAACAAATTTTGCGACTAACCTGTGCCAAAAGTTTTGCAGTTGTAAAAATAAATTCTGCAAGCAAGCAGAACAGAAAAACACGAGCTCTGGTGGACAGGGATTTTTCTTCCGACCAATCAGGTGAGGTGTTGTCATTCTTGAACGTGGAGAAGAAGATTAGATGTGCGTTCACATTTTACAGGGTTCCGGTCTGGAAGCAAGCTTTCCACTGTGCTAAATATGGATCCAATTCGACATCTAGCTAGCTAATCAAGATAAAAAGGTGCGATCGCTCAGATTCTCTCATAGCAGTTACCTCTAAACTCACCTGGGCACTGTATCAGCTAGATGAATCAAATGCACATTTAATCTTCTTCCCCTTCCTCTCTTGTCTCTTCCCACCTGGACAAAAGTAACACCTACATGAGAATGCTATAAAGTGACTACAGCTCAGCGTTCAACACCGTAGTGCCCTCAAAGCTCATCACTAAGCTAAGGACCCTGGGACTAAACACCCCCCCAGGGGTGCATGCTCAGTCCCCTTCTGTACTCCCTGTTCACCCATGACTGCATTGCCAAGCACGACTCCAACACCATCATTAAGTTTGCCGACGACACAACAGTGGTAGGCCTGATCACCGAAAATGATGAGACAACATATAGGGAGGAGGTCAGAGACCTGGCAGTGTGGTGCCAAGATAACAACCTCTCCTTCAACGTGAGCAAGACAAAGAAGATGATCGTGGAATACAAAAGGAGGGCCAAGCACGCCCCCATTCCTATCGACAGGGCTGTAGTGGAGCAGGTTGAGAGCTTGAAGTTCCTTGGTGTCCACATCACCAACAAACTGTCATGGTCCAAACACACCAAGACAGTCGTAAAGAGGGCACAACAATGCCTATTCCCCAGGAGACTGAAAATATTTGGCATGGGTCCTCAGATCCTCAAAAAGTCATACAACTGCACCATCAAGAGCATCCTGACTGGTTGCATCACCGCCTGGTATGGCAACTGCTCTGCCTCCAACTGCAAGGCACTACGGAGGGTAGTGCGTACGGCCCAGTACATCACTGGCGCCAAGCTTCCTGCCATCCAGGACCTCTATACCAGGCGGTGTCAGAGGAAGGCCCTAAAAATTGCCAAAGACTCCAGTCACCCTAGTCATAGACTGTTCTCTCTGCTACTGCATGGCAAACAGTACTGGAGCACCAAGTCTAGGTCCAAAAAGCTTCTTAACAGCTTCTACCCCCAATCCATAAGACTCCTGAACAGCTAACCAAATAGCTACCCGGACTATTAGCTTTTATGCAAAGAAGATATCTATAGCAAATATTTTTTGCAACTACAAAACTCAGTATGCAGGTGCAATTCATATTTTACATGTGCAAATCATACTTTACATGCTTGTATAATTAAATCACTATTTTACCTCGATAGGGGTTGACTTTTGAGGTGAGAGAGGGTTGAGGGACTTTTCTCATGTGTAAGTTGTAGCAGAATGTAAGATATAGAGCCTGTTAGCCAGAGAAGAGACAACTGTGAAACGTCACCCATCAACCCCTCCCCCTCTCCCTCCCCCCTCCGCCTCCCTCCCCTCCCCCTCCCCTCCCCTCCCCCCCATCCCTCCCCCTCCCCCTCCCCCTCCCCTCCCCTCCCCTCCCCCCTCCCCCCCACCCCCAACCCCCCCCTCCCCTCCCCAACCTCCCCCCTTCCCTTCCCGCCCCACCTCTCCCCTACCACCATAGTGCTGACTGAAAGTTCAAATGAGCAATCACAGGTAGATGAAAAGATAGTCCTTTATTGCAGCAAGGGAATTTGTCTTACACACTAAAACAAGTTTTGAACATTACCATCTCCCTGGTATGAGCAGGTTGGAGCCACTGTGAGCCTTTTTTCAATTAAGAAAGGGCAAGACAGTTGTACAATTGCTCTTGAGGAAGTTTATGTCTGAAAACATTTGAGTTGATGTTTTATTACTTCTACTAAACCTAACACAAACTACACAAAGTAAATAGTTCGAAACTGTTGTACATTCTGGATATATTTGAATTATAGTTTTTGGTTAGTATTAAGTATATATAGTCTGTTCAACATATTTGTAGAGCAGTTTTCTATCCAAATTAACCCTTTTGATAAATTTCCGTCTCTGGCACCCCTAGGCCTTTATTTACCCATAAAACACCGGCAGCATGACTGTAATGTACAGTGTACACACAGAGAGGAACAGAAACCAGGAAAGAGCTTTAGGACTGCACCTCCTATCCCCTATCCCCATCTTAATGCTGCTGTTAGGTTGGTCTTGATGGTTACAGGGCCTTGCAAATGTATTCATCCCCCTTGGCGTTTTTCCTATTTTGATGCATTACAACCTGTAATATAAATTGATTTTTATTTGGATTTCATGTATATAACATACACTAAATAGTCTCAATTGGTGAAGTGAAAACTTGTTTCAAAAAATTCAAAAAAATAAATAACGGAAAAGTGGTGCGTGCATATGTATTCACCCCCTTTGCTATGAAGCCCCTAAATAAGATCTGGTGCAACCAATTACCTTCAGAAGTCACATAATTAGTTAAATAAAGTCCACCTGTGTGCAATCTAAGTCTCACATGATCTGTCACATGATCTCAGTATATATACACCTGTTCTGAAAGGCCATAGAGTCTGCAAAACCACTAAGCAAGGGGCACCACCAAGCAAGCGACACCATGAAGACCAAGGAGCTCTCCAAACAGGTCAGAGACAAAGTTGTGGAGTACAGATCAGGGTTGGGTTATATGAAAATATCAGAAACTTTGAACATCCCACAGAGCACCATTAAATCATTATAAAAAAATGGAAAGAATATGACACCACAACAAACCTGCCAAGAGAGGGCCACCCACCAAAACTTGCGGACTAGGCAAGGAGGGCATTAATCAGAGAGGCAACAAAGAGACCAAAGATAACCCCGAAGGAGCTGCAAAGCTCCACAGCGGAGATTGGAGTATCTGTCCATAGGACCACTTTAAGCCGTACACTCCACAGAGCTGGGTTTTACGGAAGAGTGGCCAAAAAAAGCCATTGCTTAAAGAAAACAATAAGCAAACACATTTGGTGTTCGCCAAAAGGCATGTGGGAGACTCCCCAAACATATGGAAGAAGGTACTCTGGTCAGATGAGACTAAAATTGAACTTTCTGGCCATCAAGGAAAACGCTATATCTGGCGCAAACCCAACACCTCTCATCACCCCGAGAACACCATCCCCACAGTGAAGCATGGTGGGGACAGCATCATGCTGTGGGGATGTTTTTCATCGGCAGGG